ACACATAAACAAAAAAAGGCATTGATTTTGTGAGGAACTTTTGTTCAGGTAGCACAACTGTAGTCATGGTTTTATGTACACTCGTGCAGGAATGTCCTTTTAATTTTCAATTCATTACAACCGCAAGTTAGAATTAATTGATGATTTTCTTTAATCCATACAAGGCCAGAAGGACCAGTTCAAATTCTACTAACAAATAACGATTAATTTGCAAATCAATTAGTCTGTCGATTATTTCTTCAATTAATCAAGTAATAATCAGATAACAAAAGATTCCTTAAAGACTTTTTGCAAAATTAAACCAAATTAAAATAAAGCTTTTCCACTTGAGGAGTTCTGTATAGAGTATACTGACAAATGAAGAAGTTTTTTATCTGAAATGCAAAATGTTAACACTTTTATTATTGTATTGGGCATAATTGCTGCTCATTGTGGGTCGGTCTGTCAGCTAAAGGCATATTTTAGAGTCTCTACATTCCAGTTTATGATTAATCGATTATTAAATTACACCTACTCATACTTAAATACATTTCCCTCAGCAAGTTACACCAGAAACCTATATCTAAAAGAAACAATATATTTTCTTTATCCATCCTCAAATCAGCAGTGTTGTGTTTCTATCCAGCAAACCCAAGTTGAAGAATTTAGAGGTAGTCCTTTTTCATGATTCCATCAATCTTGTGTGAAATACCAGTATCAATAGCAGCAAAAAATAAATAAATAAGATAAAAATCCCACAGCATAAAGCTGCTACCACCATGCTTCACAGCTGGTGCATTTATTATTAGGTTTGACAGTTTGTTTTTTTTCCCAATCTGGGATATGAGTTGCTCATATTGCTTATTCCAGTCTCTGTAGATCACTCTTTTTCATTTCGATTTATGAAAGGCCCTCTGAGAATAATATCTTAGTTAAAGATTAACATTTTTATATAGAATCTTGTAACTATATAGACAATCAAAAGTATTTACTGGAAAGCAAGGAGAAACTACCAGTTTTGATTCATAAGAAGAACTGGGGCGTATTAAAATACATTCTAAAAAAAAACCCTCAGCATTACATTTAAAGGTTTTGGGTGACATGTGTTAATCAACCAGTTTAGTTTTCTGTGTCAGTAACACAATATACATTCAAACAAATAAATAAATATTTCTTTATATAAAATGCTTCAAGTTTGTTGTTGTCTAAATATCCTGGATAAAGAAGGTTTAAAATAACCCCCATTATTCTATCTGTCTAAGAACTTTTGAATTACCCTAATATGTCGTCTCAGCTCAGCAGGTCTCCACGTGTCTTCTTTGGTTAATTTCTAAGGAAATAGAACATCTTTATTACCTTTATCACAACAATCGGGTGCACCTATATCAACAAAAAGCTCATTTAAATCTAAAAGAGAATGCGATGATTTACAACAGCCCCAATCCGGAGTCCAAGCTGAGGTTTAGAAGCTTTTATCCAACATCACGCGATAGCATCTTACCTTCTCGCTCTGCATGTTCTCGTCTGTTTTTGAGCTTTTACAAAAACATAAACATTCTACTACTTATGTATCCACGACGCCATAGCGATGTGTTTATGCGCATGCGCATTAGATGGAAACCATGGAGAACGCGTCATGTCGACTTAACAACAGACCTGACTAATCAGCGCAGGAGAAATCGATGCTCAGCAGCCACAGGCATTAAAGTCAAACTGGATTTTTTAATTAACGATTGTGTTCCAGTTCGGGTGATTTTTATAAAGTCTGTGATAGTTTTGTTTAATCTGTTTTGTCTCAGTTTTAGATGTTTTGTTTTCCAAACATCTGTCAATTGGCCATTCTTCATCCCAAACAGATAATCAATGAAAAAAAAAAAAATCAAGATATAATACATGTATAAAAGATAAGATATAATAAAGCTAATTAGATGATTAATTAAATTACATTTATTCTTCATATCTGTATATATCTCAGGTTGTATTTGTGCAAATGACATGAAATTTGGTCTTAATCCAATAGTTTGTCTGGTTTGCTTCTTTTTGTTTTTTATTTTACTGAAGCGTTTTAAAACAAAATCAGGGTTTAGATTTCATTTTTTTTGGAAGACTTTGAAATGGCATATGGGGGGGATTAGTATTAAATCACTTATGATCTGGGGTAGTCACATTATCAAATCAAAATCAAATCAAATTTATTTGTATAGCCCTTTACAATAGCCAGATGGTACCCAAAGTGCTTTACAACAAAGCCATAAAAACAATACATAACACATATAAAACATACAAGATACAATTAAAAGTGCTGTAGTGGTGCAGTGCTGCAGGACATTAAAAGCCTTCCAGAGGTGCATAGAAAGGAGCACACAGAAAGATGACATCTAAGAGACAGTATTATCCTAGTCAAAATTAAAAGCTAATTTAAAAAAGTGGGTTTTAAGCTTTTTTTTTTTTTTAAAAGGCTGAGGTCAGTAGTGGTGCGGATGTCAGGGGGTAGTTTGTTCCACAGTCTGGGAGCAGCGACGGCAAAAGAACGATCGCCCAACTGTTTGAGTCTTGACCTAGGGACCTCTAGCAGAAGCTGACCCGAGGAGCGTAAACCTCTGCCACAATTGCGGAAAGTTAAAATCTCAGACAAGTAAGAGGGGGCAAAGCCATGAATGGCGTTAAAAACAAACAGCAAACATTACCAGTTGTCACACTGAGGTTGGGTTACTGCCAGACCTGTATACAATAAAACACTTAAATTGAACCTGTCTAAAAACATGAATAAGGATGAGCTTTATCAAAAAGTTTCAAATCTTAACTCTGAAATTGAGGAAATCAAACACAGATCAGAAAGAAAGGCAGTGACATCAATAGGTTTGACATAGATATTAGGTATAAGTAGTACTCGAGTTGAGGTAGAATGAGGAGGGATGGCACCTTTTTTAAAAGATCTCAAAAATCATCCCCCCTACTTAAATGAACATCCGCCCATACCATCCCCTGTGACATTTTATTACTGAATGTGTAAAATTTCTACTATATTTTAACCGTAATGGCAGTAATTTGCCATTTGAACAGTTGGTGGGCTGTGGGCTAACGAGTAGCCTGAGCAAAATAAATAAAATGAAAAGGAAGTGGCCTACCATGACTATGAAGCTGATCCCAGTGGGATATTTGTCCCTAACTATCTAGGGTCAGTGATACAGTAGCAATGCCTGTCCAGGGACTGATTGCAATTGTATTGTAAGGTGCCTTGGTCAAAGGTCAATGACCGGCGTACCTGACATGTAATACCCATACCATGCATATTTGCTTTGGGTTAATAAACTATATTCATTAGGCTATGTGTGATATAAAAAAAAAATCACCATCCCCCTTTTTTCCCCTTTTTTTTTTTTTTTATAACCAGACTACTGGGTATAAGGCTTTGGGCATATTCCAGTGAGTTATTTTCAACAAGAGATAAATTCTAAGGGTTGTTAACCTTCTAAACAGAATCCAGCATATAAACTTTCACCATAAATACATCATCAACTAATTCAGGAGATTAGAAAAGGAAAACACCTCTACAGAATTTGCTCGACTCTGTTAAAATACCTTGGTAAAATATTATCCGGAATAACAAGACATGAGTTTATTTTTCAGAATAACTTTCTTCCGTTAAACCTGGTATAAAGGTAAACACTGCAGTGACAGTCAAGCATGCTGATAGGAGAATGATGATCTGGGGCTTCTTTTGCTGCCTTGGGGCATGGGTCCATTGTCCAAATTAACAGGGCCATAGATTCTACTCTCCACCAGAAACCCATATGCTCAATGATCAGCTACCACTTTGTAATAGCTCAAGTGAATTTAAGTTATGTGGCAGCAAAAATTGTTCTTAACAGAACAGTAAGTCAACTTCGGAAAGGCTGAAGAAACAAAATGAAGGCTTTGAAGTGGCTTAATTAAAATTTGGACTTAAAGTGGTTGCAATGTTGTGAGACCTTAAATCAAATACGTTTGCTAAGAACCCCTCCAGCATGGCTGAATAAAAACAATTCTGCAAACAAGAGTGGGGCAAATTTACCCCACACTGAACTAAAAGACTCATCATGAGATCTCACAAACACTTACTAACAGTTATTGCTGGCAAAGATGACAGAATCGAATAGTAGCCAGCCCAACCATCCATCATCTTCTTGTCTGTGGTTGGGTTGCAGGGGTAGCAGCTTCAGTAGGTTGCTGCTGAAAACACACTGCAAAAATTGAAATCTAATAATGATACTTTAAATTGAGTGTATTTTCCCTGTCAAGAGCATCATATCAAATCATCTTATTATTAGGGCAGAAAACCTCCATTATTTTGTAGATTAACATATTTGCCTGCTCAAATTAAGGACAAATAAACTTATTTTAAGAAATAATGAATTTTTTAGATCAGTTTTTGCAGTATAATACTAAATCAATTTCTTACAATGACAAGCACTTACAGAAGAGACCACAACTAGTTTGTTCCTTGGACCAATGTAATATTTTGCCTTTACAATTCACTCATTAATTAGAAATAAAAGTTAGCTTTATGCTCCAGTCGTATTATGATAGGATTACAGTATGTATCTTTCACATCAGTAGTCTTGGTTTTGTGGCACACTTAATACACAAAACAATGCACTTTTGTCCTGTCTTTTTTTCTGTGTGCGTGTTGTTCTTTTGCTCTATGCCTCTAAAAAAAACAAAAAAAAAACACTGCACCTGACCCAGTTACTCTTGGTGCGTTTTTTTTAACACCACTGTTTAAATGTTTTCTTAAATCAAATAATTGTGACACATTGATTCTTTGAATTTACTTTGATTTAAAATTAGTGTAACAAACTAAAAAATAAACTAGAGGCAAATATTTCCCATCAGTTATCCTCAATTTGACCTAGTTTCATGGAGGCAAATATATTGCATTTCCAGTATTGGCCACCAGATGGCGGTATTTCTTAGTTTTAATTGTTTCTTACTGGAGCTGTAGAATCTGTGTGTGTGTGTTCGTGTGTGTGTGTGTTCTTGGAAATGTTTATTCCCATCCTGTGAAGGCAGTGTGAGGTAACCAGTGGATAGTTCAGGCATGCATTTAGCAAGCGGCTCTCAATGAAAACTAATAAAGCAAATACTAGCGCAGAGGACTATGGGAGGGTGCGCAGGTGAGCCGACTTGAAACGCAGCGCTCCGTCCATGGAACTGGATCCTTAGACATATAGTCCGAGGACAAGAGATGTCAGGAGGCAGCATGACAGCTGTACGCGGAGCCCACTCGAACAACAGCAGCCCTGCGACACCGAAGGAAAACGGACACACCGCCCAGCCGACGTCCAACTTTCCCCATCCCTCAGCGGGGAGCGCACCGGAGGACAGCCCGGCGGGTTCCAGCAGCGAGCTCTCCCACACATGGATCCACTTCGTGAAGACTTTCGTCATTATTTTCCCCATTTATGCCCTGGGCTATTTTGAGTTCAGTTTCAGCTGGTTGCTGATAGGACTTTTTATCTTTTTCTGCTGGAGGAGGAACGCAGGGGGGAAGCTGAGCCGCCTGAGCCGAGCGCTTGCGTTCTTTGATCAAGAGGAGCGAAGCGCACAACGGTGTCTGACCACCTCGGATTTACCTCCATGGGTAAGACACAATACGAGACAAATATTAATTACAGAGATGTTTTTCTCAAAAGCAGGTGTGTGATTCTTGAAAAATGTATAATGCGCGTTTCTTGGAAAATAAACATTAATCTACTCAGATCAGGCGGAGCAGGTTGGAGCTGTTAAGGCGATATGAGACAGCTGTCCTCCTCCCTGATGGTGACACCAGACCCAATCTAAATACAGAATGCTACAATGCTCCAGCTCAGAGCATGCTGCTTGCCTTTCATACCAACTCAGTCTGTTATTTTAGGTCCCCATCTATATGTATTATCTCTACAGAAGACTCTACTCTCTCTATTTCTGCAAGACGGCTTGAATACATAATGAATAATGGAGTCTTATTAAAAAAAGTGCTTTGCATCCAAACACAGAGGCATCATGTGGGGCTTATAAGTCGGTTGATTTTAGAATAGGATATACGCTGGAAAAAATAGAAATCTAGATAAGTCATATTTTGTCTTAAAATAAGTGCAATTTTTCTTGGATTGAGGAGGTAAAATAGACATTTTGCGAATGGAACAACAGAATTTACACTTAAAATAGGAAAACGCAATAGCATTGTCTTATTTAAAGTGCATAATATCTAATTATTTTATTTTAAGAGTAAAAATACTAATTCCGTTGGCAAACTTTCTCATTACTCAAATTAAGGGTAAATACACTTACGTTAGGAAATTTTTACTTATTTATTGATCACTTTTTACAAAGTGTTTCAAAAGAACTAAATGTTTTCATATTTCTATTAAGGAAAAGGAAAATCACGTTGAAACTAAAACAAAAAAGATCATTTAGGCTATTTAATTTTGAGAGATAAGAGAAATTTGACAGAGTGCAGGTATCACAAGATGGAGAGGAAAATGGTATTCTACAAGAAATAGAAGATGGAGAGATTTTTAGAACTTGTGGCTTGTAAGCAGGGATTCATCCTGTAAGTGGTGGGTTGCTGCTTTATTCACCTTAATTGTGTCTTTGCTTAAGATCTTAATGTTCTTGCCTGCTGTTGGTGGTCAGAGGGTCTGATGGCACTGATTGTATGGCAGCTGAGCTTCTGGTAGTCTGCCCCAGGGCAGCTCTGGGCACATTCTAGCTTACCACCATCAGCATGTGAGTCAATGGGTGAAGGACTGAATGCAGTAGGAAGGCCCCCCTAATCTGAATTTTGTCATCTACCCTATGGAGATTTCTGCAGATGACAGAAATCTCATAACCGAGAAAGGTTCTCCAGACATATTAAATGTTTTTTTAATAAAAATAACAACATAACTCAGATTATTTTCACTTTATTTTATTAAATTCACATTTTTCCCTTTTTGACAAAGAAAACAAGAACTTTTGTGTTAGAATTGGTTTGTTTTTTTTCATAAAAAAAAAAAACTTAAACAGCAGCTTGTTTTTTGATATACTTTTCTAAAAAGAAAATGAAATGGCTGAAAGATACACTGAGCGTTATATATTATAAATGTGCTCCTTAGTGGTATCAGAGTTTAGCTACAATGGTTTACAAGGGTTCAAATATCAGGTTCAAGTATTTCTGATGGAAAATCTGATGTCCAAGAATCTCCAGGTATGAATAATAGAGAATTTTCACAGGGGGACTCTATTGGCTTCCTATGTGCCAATCATTGAAGCTCATTCTTTAGTATGTCTCTATGTCCTCAGGCTCTGGTTTGTGCCTCTGTCAGTTTGTCTTCTAATTTCATTCATGTGCACATACTTTCTTTTGCACCTTTGTAGTTCATATTCCTACCTATAGATAAAAAGATTGGTACATATGTGGGCTACTTAAACATTTTCATGTTTTTTTTCCATCATTGTTAACCTCGCTTTTCTTAAAATGGATTTAAAAAAATGGATAAAAAAATCACAGAACGATGCACAAATCAGCTCAAAGTTATTGCATAATATTTGCTGAAGCTCTCCTACAGTATTATTTTTTTCCACATGTTTTGGTTTTGATTCCAGCTGACTCCAAGTTAGATTAATAGCTGTCACTCCTGATTAAACCAAAATAACTCTGAGCAGCCTCCTCCTGGTAAATAGTTGACTCTTAAGAAATTTGGCTGTTATGACCACTGACTAAAAGAAAACAACTGTAGGTGACCTCTTACTGACGTATATTCACTATTAGAGCCACATTATCACTTTTTGCACAGTGAGTTTTTGAAATAATGATATATGATTATTCTATCTATTATTTTAATCACTGTCAACATAATCTTTAAGTTTCCCATTGGAAATAATATTTATAGGCTTATTACTTTTTATACAAGTTCAGGGTAGTCAGGGTATGTAGTCAGACGTCTGGAGACAGTTGTTAAAAGACATACAGCTCAAAGCTTAGTGGTAGTATTTTGTTGTTTTGAAAAAAATGGAAATAGAAATATTGTTGGAAATATTTCCATATTTTGTTTTATTTTTATTTATTTCTTTTTAAAGCCATGCTGCCTTTTCCGTCAGTTAACTGAAAGAGAACATCAAAACATTAGGCAGCAGCAATTTCTTTTTCTTTTTTGATAGCTATAGGTAACTCTAGGCTTCTCCCCAAAGGTTCTTCATTCAGGAATCGGCTTTTAAAGCTAAACTAGTTTGGCTTATGTTTGGAGTTCATTAAGTTCATTAAGAGGCTGTAGAACATCTGAAAAGGTTTGTAAGCTTTTGTTCAAGCTTCAAAACATGTCTTGGATAGCGGTTAGGGACAGTCTATTTACCCTTTCACTATTCTCTGCAGGGTAATCTTGATTAATTAACATTGATTAATTGCAAAATAATGTCAATATTTTTGCTCAAACCTAACATTTAATTGGTGATCTTCAGATTGAAGCCTGAGCTGCAAATCACAAAGCCAGTTAAGACATTCTATATCATACAGGAATTTTTTTTCAGTGGAGTGGAGTGCTGTGAGAAATTTTAAAAGCCCTTTTTGCTGACACATGGCTAAGGCATTTATCTGAGGAAAGAGATCTTAGATGGAAGAGCTCAGATTTATTAAGTACAGCACTGTCCCCTTAAACTGTGGGATTTATTATAGAGAGATTACCTGGTCCAACATGTGCATCATCATCAGAAACTAGATCACATCCTTCAGTGGTTTAAGAATTGATCTAAAATATCTAGTTGATCTCAGATCAATAGATCAAATAAATAAAATAAATTGCTTCTTTTTCTTTTTTGCTCTTTAATTTTTGATAGAAATCCTACAAGTTATCAACTATCAACAGGGATCAACTAACCTGCAAAATGTCTTTCAAATCTGGTAACAGTAGCAAAAAATTGGGACTAAAGGACAATAAAACTAGTTAAGTGAAAATGCATTGATGTTTTAAGTCATGGATGGTAGATGAGTTAAAAGTGGATTAGTTTATGTAGCTGAACTGCTTTCATAAGTCTTTGTGACTTTTAGCATCTTATGTACATCTCAAGTCAGGTGTGAGCGTCTACTGCAGTAAGGTTCCATCCTACTGGCTGAATGTATTATGGTATACTTAGTAGGGTTGTCACGATACTAAACTTTTCAACTCGATACCGATACTAAGGAAAATATTCGATACTCGATACCATTTTCGATACCACAAGGATAAAATTTCAACAGAAATATTTTGATTAATAATTAAAATACAATAAATAAATACAATAAACAATAAGAACAACATTTTGAGGTTGTTTGCTGTGCACAGTATTTAGCAAGCTTGATAAAAAACTTACAAAATTAAAATTAAGTTTTCCTTACTTGGCTATGCTTTGCACACATAACAATGACACTAGCCAAACCGGTTAAGAAAGAAAAATAATTCTCAGTAGCTGCAACTGTTACAAAAAAAAAGTCTGAAACTGAAAAGTGCACAGAGTTATTCAATCACAGTGTTCAGAAAGTGCATTTTCCTCTATTCTGCACTTTAGATGAATGACTGTTTAGGTGCGACTGGTACTCGATACTTTTGAAAATGAGTATTGTATCCGGATACAACATTTCAGTATCGATACTTTTTTGAGTATCGATACTTTTGACAACCCTAATACTTAGACTTAGACAAACTTTATTGTGATTTTGTATGCACAGACATGTATATGTATACAAGACAACATTTTGTTGCACACAGCTTACAACAGTGTAATGATATTGCAGTTTGTGTAAGATAAACATTACCAATATAAAATGCAGCAGCTAGAATGTAACATTGTAGGAGCAAAAGGAAAACAGTTTAAATCCTGGTGCAAAAGGGCATTAATATGAAAAAGTTCAGCACAGTGTAAAATAAATATTGTGCAAAGTGCTTTAGAACATTGAGTTGTGTCCTATTTAAAAAGATTATAAGAGTTCAGCTTGTTGGTAGTGGAACCTAATGTTGCAAGAGTCCAGTTTAGAGTTCAACAGTTCAACAATCTGATAGTAGCATTGGGAAAAACTGTTGCAGAACCTGCTGAACCTGAAGCTGTGAATCCAAAATACTTTGAATACAAAGATAACATTTGGATTTCCAGCTGCTCTCTGCAATATCAAGATGATTAGTGGATCAAAATAGATCCTGTAGTGGATCTATTTTGAATTTTGAAAAGATTGCACATCACCCATCACTTCTGTCAGGGAACTGAACAGGTATTTGAAAAGAGGAACTGTTATGTAATATGCACCCAGCCAAGTTTTCCATTGCTTTCATTAAGATTGTCCACCCATGTTATGCACTGTGAGAAAATGTAACTGCTGACTAAGATCCTACTGTTACCTTTTAGTCCACTCTCTTCTCCACTCAAACATAAAACCTTTATAACATGCATGTCTATGTGTGAAAATGAGTTGTTCAGCTAGGCTAAAAATAGCATGAAAAAGGGCCTGAGTTCATTGAGAAGAAGCAATATTTTAAGACCTGTCTGACGCTGAAGATGGTATCTGACTCAAGATTCCTACAGTATAAGCTGTTACTCTAATGCGTCAATTAACAGTTTTCTAGGGAATTTAAACTGAATTTTCTGTAGAACCAA